GGCCGGTCTCTGTTTGTCATGTCTGTAAAGAGGAGAAACGATTAAGCCTGCACAGAGTCCTGCTGAATCTGATCCTGCGCTCGTAAAAATTGTAATCTTCTTTTTCTAGATAAAGTTGGACGCGATATGGATGGCGTAGTCCAGATAATTCGGAAGTACGACTGTACGAGCCTACGAGGATCATGGGGACCGAGGAGTCCAGAACTGCTGACTCACTAGTTTCAAGTTCAGACATTGCAGATTTCAAGAGTCCGACATTTCTGAAATTGAGAGTCTGGTTGGTGTTCTGTCAAAATCCCTGCTGGCCTCGATAGATAAAATTTGAAAATCCCTGTTGGCCTCGATAGATAAAATGCAAAGTTTGCTGTACTGATATATAACTCGTTTCTTGGACTATCACTATCCTGGACTCTCTTTTTTTCTGCCTTTGTTTGGGATTTAAAGACTTTGTTATTGTTGTTGAACTGTCGTACAAAGCAGAATTGAGTTTTAAAGCTATCCTATTCACCATTCAGCTACGATACGAAGTTATCGGCGTCGGGCCGAGCCGACACAGGCTTCGGATGGCTCGGAAAGGCCTAAACCCAAATATTTTGTTATTATCTTTACCAGGCCCAGGTCAGTCCAACAAAAAACCCTAAAGCTCCTTTTCTTTTCTTTTTTTAAAAAAAATGCAAGTACAAGATTTTTTCCGAAAAAAGAAAAAACTGCTACGTTAATGGAACACCTAATCCACAGCTCAGGACAAGCAGGTACTGACATCTAGATCCACAGGTGATAGTGAAAGCGTGAAAGGAAAGGATACACACGCAGTGAATATTTCCATTAACCAAAGATCATAATTATAGCGTGGCCTTGAAAATAGGCAACAAACACAAGATAAAAACTATCCTAATTCCTAACAGAACGAAGGTTGTTGCCGTATCGCCGTGATCTTGGCTTGCATGGAGATGGACGTATGGATGACCCAAGGGATGGCTCCGCGGTCTGGCGATAGGGGTACGGTGCCGGGTGTTCTGCATGGCGGAGAACTGCGGCCTAGCGGACCTGTGCGGCGTCGGCCTGAAAAGCATCGCCGCCAACCTCGGCGTGGCAAGCCCCGCCGTGGACCTGCCGTGGATTGTCGTGCGTCCGCGAGAAAGGAGGAAGAGAGCGAGGCCGAGAAGAAATTTGTGGCTGCGGCGATCAAGGACAAGGCCGCGGGCCCTGGCCGGAATCTGGTGATGGCGGCGGACGATGCAGACGGGCCGAAGAAGGGTCAATTTTTTATAAGAAAAATAAATGCGAGGGGTTCAATGAAAAACACTTGTCATGTGAGCATGCCACCTCAACAAAAAGATGCCACATGGCTGGTATGGACCTGCGGTGCATCACTCAACAAATTCAGGGGTTTAGAAATGCATTTTCAAAGTTTATGGACCCATATGATACACACTTGCAAGTTCGAGGAGCGCTAATGCATTTAACTCATTTTACAATGTCCCTAATTTGAACCAATATTTGTAATGGTTAATTTTACAATGTCTCTAATTTGAAGTTTTATACTGCAGTGAACATACTAGAACACCTATACCCCTACCCCAATGGCAATATTCCAAGGAAAGGTTCGATTAGCTAATATTTGTATAATCGATTTTAATTTTGTGATGTCTCTAATTTGAACTATAATATTTGTAATAATGGATTTTAACTTTGCAATGTCTCTAATTTGAACTTTTATACTGCAACTGAAATCTGAATATACTAGAACAATACTCCAATGGCAATTATACTGCACTGAACTAATATCTCGTGCTCACAGCTAAAGAACGAGAGAGTCCTCAAAACCGAGACGAACTCGAGTCTCCTACTCTCTTGTGAAAACTGATAAGACGGGGAGGTCGCGCGGGAACGGAGGAGGATTCGCCGGATGCCAGGATCAGGATGGGGTGGGGGCGTGGGGCAGCGGGTGAAACAGTGATGGCGTGTCGTATGGCGAGTGAGTCCGCTGGAGAGTCGTTCGTTTTGGTTCAGAGTTAAATAACTGTGGAGTATCATATCAAGAAGCATGCTTACTGACGATCTAAGGAGAACGGGTTGTAAGTCTTCTGAAAAGAGAGAGAGAGAGAGAGAGAGAGAAACGATGTCCTATGATAATCTCGGAGCATTCAGCTTTGGCATTATCGCTATTGGTTCTACGGGCGGCGCAAATATACGACCACAGTCAGAAGCAAATAAAAGTCAGGACCAAATAGTGACATCGATGTAACTTTCAAGGCAGAAATTCCTAGACGATTGCAAGCAACTGGAAGTGTGTTTTTTCACTAGTCCACATTATATTGACCATTGCAAGCAACTGAAGTACTGAACTACTTACATGACTCCACTATCTACTCTCTATAACGACTTTCTGAACTATATCTAATATACGGAGTACGTACCATCTTAAAACTAAGAAGACACACTACCAGCATCTAAACTCGACGAAACCATCTACGGTGACGCTGAAGGAGGTGTAGCAGGCGTCGTCGGCGGCTCTGCTGGCGTAGGAGTAGGAGGCATTATCGGCGGCACCTGTTGCGCTGTCAATCAAATATGAACGAACAAGCATCAGCATCACCAGCAGATTAATCTCCTTGCGGCGAAAGGAAGCATACATAAAATCTGTGGAATCTCATAATGCGAGGCATTGTAACTTACAGTTGCACGTGAAGAGCGTCTGGAGCGGCAGCACGGTGCCGCAGGCGAGCGGGAGGATGAGCATGCGGATGGGGTCGACGGGCTTGGGCAAGAACTGGTTCATGTCGCCGTTCATGCCGTGGCAGAGGCAGATGGGCGCGTCGCTGATGACGGACTTGAGCCCGTCGCAGCACTCGCCGGGGGGCGTCAGCACGGTGATGTTGGTCAGGTAGTCCGTGCACGGCAGCATGCCAGCCAGCGGCGTCATGCACTCCTCCGGTTGGGGCTGCCGCGGTGGAGGAGAGAACGACGTCAAGCTGGCACCCAGGTTGCCCGCGCCTTGGAGAGGCGGAGACGACGACCCCGGCGGCGGGAGGAGCGGGATCAGTGGCTGCAACAGGCCGATGATGCCGCCCAGCCCCGGGAAAAGCAGGCCCAGGATGGCGGCCAGTAGGTCTGGCGGTAGGCCAGCGGGGATGCCCGCCGGAGGTGTCGTCGATGGGCGTGCCACGCCGCCGGATGCTGCTTGGTCGGCCACCTTTTCAGCTGCTTCTTGGCCTGCGGCCGCGGGCTTGAATGCTTGCTGGACGACTTGGACCCTCGCCGCTTCCGAGGGATGCAGCGCCGCCGCCGCCATGGCGAAGGCGAAGAACAGGGCGATGAGCTTGGGCGAAGCCATGTCGAATTGGAGGACGATGCTATGGGCTTTGCCTAATTTTTTGTGTTGTATTGGATGCATGACCACGTGGGTTTGGCCTTCAATTTATAAGTCTGGGTGGATAGCGTTGAGATAAAGAATCCAAACATTTCTTGTAACGAGATTGGATTCTTAATCTCTAATCCCTTATTACTACTGGTTCTGATTAATTTGTCCTTCAATCAAAGGAGTCCAAGCAGTCTGAGGGCCTGTCTCTGTTTGTCATGTCTGTAAAGAGGAGAAACGATTAAGCCTGCACAGAGTCCTACTGAATCTGATCTTGCGCTCGTAAAAATTGTAATCTTCTTTTTCTAGATAAAGTTGGACGCGATATGGATGGCGTAGTCCAGATAATTTGGAAGTACGACTGTACGAGCCTACGAGGATCATGAGGACCGAGGAGTCCAGAACTGCTGACTGACTAGTTTCAAGTTCAGACATTGCAGATTTCAAGAGTCCGACATTTCTGAAATTGAGAGTCTGGTTGGTGTTCTGTCAAAATCCCTACTGGCCTCGATAGATAAAATTTGAAAATCCCTGTTGGCCTCGATAGATAAAATGCAAAGTTTGCTGTACTGATATATGACTCGTTTCTTGGACTATCACTATCCTGGACTCTTTTTTTCCCTGCCTTGTACTGTCGTACAAAGCAGAATTGAGCTTTAAAGCTATCCCATTCACCATTCAGCTACGATACGAAAAACGCACTGTTCGGTTGGTATGAAAAATGCACCGTTTATGCTGAAAAAAACACTGTTCCAGCTAAAATGTTGTGAGAGAAAAAATAATGTTCTGGCTGGGAAAAAAGAAACCGAACCAGCAGCTTCTTGGTCAGCCGAAGGGCACCGGCGTCGGGTCGAGCCGACACAGGCTTCGGATGGCTCGGAAAGGCCTAAACCCAAAGATTTTGTTATTATCATTACCAGGCCCAGGTCAGTCCAACAAGAAACCCTAAAGCTCCTTTTCTTTTTCTTTTTTTTAAAAATATGCAAGTACAAGATTTTTTTCCGAAAAAAGAAAAAACTGCTACGTTAATGGAACACCTAATCCACAGCTCAGGACAAGCAGGTACTGACATCTAGATCCACAGGTATAGACAAGGAGCTCTTAAATTTCTCTCGGTTTCAGAAGATCAGGTGGGATTACACACTTCTCTGTCCCACTGTCGCTGTCGAGCTTCTTGACAAATCCAGGCAGCTCTTGATCGCACGACATCCATCATTTTCTTTACCTGTCCTGGTTAACTACGCCTCCATCAAATCGACACATCGGCTTTATCCAAGAGATACATTTGAGTTGCTGATGTCGTCATTTTCCTTTTTTTTTTCTTGGTGTCTCCACATCACAGAACGAAAGAACGGATATCTGCACCCATCACATGCATGACTACAACAATTTCAGGCCACACAAACACAAACATTCAGATTTGCACGAAGCATGCATGGTCCTCCCTTTCCTTTTCGCAAATACCTCAGGCAACAAGAACTAATTTATTACTTTCGAAAGCGAAAGAAAAATAAAAAAGATCAGCTAGGAACTCCTGCATTTCCCTTCTATACAACGCTACAATGTCAGCTACACACACATTATTCACCTCCATCAGTCCCTAGCCACCATTCTGTTCTTCTTCCACTCACAGTACCCATCACCTCTTCAGCGGTTTGTAGAGCACAAAGCTCACATACTTGGATTCAAACCGATGGGTGATGCCGAGGGCGAGCAGCGACTGCGATCCCCACCCTTTCTCAATAAACAGATGGTTGAGGACGACGTGCTGTGGCTTTGAAGCTTGGATGTCAGTGTTATCAGTGTCCCCAAGGACAGACATGAGAAGCTGGGGTGGGAGGGTGGGCGGTTCCTTGGCGAATTCCTCGTCACCCGGGTATTGCAGGTCGTAACTGTGTTCGGGAGATGGGGGTGCTTCAAACTCAGCTACACTGTCGAGGCTTTCTGGAATGTAATCCTGTCCAAAACAAGTATCTTTTCAGATGAAATGGGAACCAGCACTATGGAGAACTTTTCAAACAGCTTAGAGCAAAGTACCCCCCATAATTTGCTTGTCTTTGGCTCTTTGCTGTTTAAATTTTCACAAGTTTGAATGCTGAAACAGAAATATAGCATCCTTACTGACATGGACATTGAGGAGGTTGGCCACTTGCCCTCTTTCATCAGTTGCATGAGGTAGTTCAGGGATGTATCTCAGCTCCCCATCTACAATAATCCGGTAATGATAAACTCCGGATGGCAGAACCAACAAGATGGCGTGATCTTTGCCAGACTTCTCTAATGCCCTCCTGAGATTACACACCGAGTTTATGAATTTAATACTCAAAATAGGATGAAAATAAGGTGTCTGAAGATGCAAATTCTAATTTTTGGGAAAATCATATACCTCGATGTCCAGTTATCCCATGATCCTTCCAGGAATACCTCATTTCCTCCTTGACTCCATGTAACCAAAGTTGGAATCCCCTTCTCTTGAGAGTGGTGGTTGATGGATTCACTGGTGCCATTTGTCGGTGAATGGTTGAAAACGGGAGAAAACTCAGTAGGTTTGTGCAGTGGAGTCACTGGAACCTGCAAGGACCAGTTACATGTCAGTAAGAACAGGACCAGCAACAACGCAAATACATGCAACTAGTTCCAACAGCAAACGAGTTAAGCGACATAAAAATATGCTTAGTTAGAGGTAATAATACTCCTATAAAGATTTCAGAGCAATGCGAAGCATGATCCCTTATCTCCCAGTGTTATAGGATCTGAAATGACCATATTCCCTTTGGAAGTGAAGGGCTAACAATGTACAAAAATTTCCATAGGTCAAGATGGAAGTTGTGAGGTCATATGGTTCACCCGTGTAAGACTATGGTCATGTCTGTCCAATGGTGACGGAAAACTAAACATGATATTAAGATGACTCTGGTAAAAAAAAATCACATAGGTCAGCCGGCTTCTATACAGTTTGTTACTAAAGACACAAAGAGCAGCAAAGCTATGGCAGCATAGTTGTTAGGACTATGACCTGTTGCAAGATTAAATCTCCTTTTTAAGAACATGTTGCCCACACATGTACAATATCAATGTAAGCAAAAAAAAAGTGACCTAAATGATCCAAGGGCCATCCATTGATCTCATGCAAATTGCAGGTGATGATGAACTGACTCTGTTGCAGGTCTAACTAGTGGTTACATTTAAGCGGAACTGAATGAAATGTACTTGTGGCCAATCACAAGATTCCTCAACAACTGGCCATACTTTTAATCAGATTTCTAAAACATGGCAGATGGTACCTAACATTATTTTCTTTAACGGGGACCATCGAAGAACTATGCAATTCATTCTACCATGTGCATCAAACGCCGGCGAACTTTTTAGCATAGAGTATGTTTTCAAGGAGACGACATGCCCTCGAAACAAGATCAGGCTTTAAAGATTTTGTTGTAACACGGTGTGTGACCACCAAGGAAGAAAAAAAAATGATAGAAGCAACAATACTTGCATCAGCTAGTAGTTTGTGTAGCCGGCAGCTAAATATCCAACCAAAGGTTTAAAAAAAGGTGTAGGCGAATGTGATCTGAGAAAGGAAGGCCAACTTGTCAACTACACCCAACCCAATCCAAGATTCAGAACTATCAAATCCATTCGCAAAATCAAGGTGCAGCTAAATGCCTAAATCAATCAACTCGTCTTTACCTGTGGGCTTAGCTGCAATGCCAAAAAAAAAAGCTTTCAATTTTTTTTTTCAGGATGCACTAGTAAAGTGGCGAGGTCCAGCAAGGCAGCAATACCCTGAACAAGAATAAACACTCTTTGGGAATGTCAGAACGGTGGACAGGCTGCAGTTTAGTAGATCTGTAAGCTACAGCTTGTGCCATGCGTTGCTCCTACAGTTTGAAGTTTCCAAGCACCATGTGTATCAATCTGATGACTGAGCGAGAGAAAATGACCCAAAGAAAAAGGCATTCAGTTTCTATGACGAACAAAAAATAAGTCATTCCATAGCAAAACTAAATTTGATCGCCAAGGAGGAGCACGAAACAATCCGAGTATGGGTAACTGAAACGAACGCAATTCAACCGAACCAGGGGTCATCAACAACAACTCCAAGTTATGTCTCTGTCATTTCTTTTTCTTGCATTTTTTAAGGACTTTTTCTTGCAGATTCGGGTAATAAATCATCACCTGCGGCGCGAAGAGATAGGGCACGGGCGGTGGACGCTCCAGCATCACGGCGTCTGGAGGCAAGAGCGGCGGCGGTCGCGCGGCGGCGCCTCCCGCCGAGCTGCTGCTTCCGCCGCCGTTGTGAGCAGCCAACTCCGGCGACGCCGCCATGTGGCCGTTCTCCCCCTGCTTGGCGCTCGCGTTCCCCATGCCGCCCGCCCGGATCGCCGCGCCTCCGCAGCTACTCCCCGCTCCCGCCTCCACCAGTGGGCCTCGCTGGAAAAAAATAATCGAAATGACGATAAAAAAAATACCTGAAAAAATAAACTAAAAAATATAGATTATAAAAAAAGCGAATACGACCAAACCCTCGAGGCGGGGAGAGTAGTACACCAGTAGTACTCTACACCCACCTCTCGAACACCGCCCTAATTAAGCAAGTGTTATGGCGAAGCAAGCGACTAGGCGGAGGAGCGGGAGGCCACAAGACTACAGCCCCGCGCGAGAATGCCACGGGGTTTGGGTTAATTCGCGCCGGCGAGGGGCGAGCCACCGGGCGCCCGGAGCTGACAGAGATGGCGCGCGCAGCCACCGTCCGGTCGGTCCGCCGAGGCGGACGAAGGGGGACAAAATATAGAGAACGTGGCGAGTCACGTGACCCGCACGCCGCCTCACGCGTGTTTTCTGGAGTTATCCCCCGAGTTTTCTCCGCCGTCGGATCGGGGGGCGTCGGGGCGTCTCGACCGTTGACTTGAGGTGCGTCCGTGCATGCATGCGTCGTGGGTTTCAGATTACCACGTTGCCCCTGGTACTCTGGTGTCGGATTAGGTCGGCATATTGGTCTATCGCTGGGTGTAGGAAGTCAACATTTTGGACGGTTTTTTCAAGAAGGATATGTTCTTGGGCGGTGACCGAGAAAACATGTTGATATGGATTGGACAGTGACATGGTAATGGAAACCACGTCTAGAGAGTATGGATGAATTTTAAAACTACTATTTCAAGTAATTAATGAGCTTAGACTATCTTCGACAACAACACTTAAAATATAAGACCCATTCGTCCTTTGGGTAGCGCTACAGGCAAAAGGTTCAATACATATTCGGTATCTTCTCCAACAACAATACCCAAAAGAGAATCATTTCTGCAAATATATTTCCAGGAGAGAAGATGTCCATATTTGGGTTGTGTCTCTCAGACAACCCAAAATAGGTCTCCCGTATAGGTATTCTGTTGGAGGTTGATTTTTTTGTCTCTTGCTACTCATTTTGGGTTTGGATGCCCATATAGGTTCCTTGTTGGAGACAGTCTTAGCTTGAGGGTTTTTCAACATTATCTAAATACCAACGGATTAGTGATTCAGTAAATTAATACTTTAATAAAAAAAATTATAGCATTATCTCAATTCAATAAAATGGAGGACATTTAGAGTAGCAAACTGCATTAGATGTATTACCAATTAATGACCTGTTTGGCTCGTGATAAACGAAGTTTGCCACGTCTAATCTTAAGTAAATTGTGGTAAGCAAAATCAAAGCCAAACTAATGGTAAAAAAAGTTTAGTAGGAAAATAAATCTATAACCTATGGGATAAAAAAAGCAAAGTGTTCTGTAGTCATGACGGTAAACCACACATAAGTCTTACGTCTGATGGTTGATGCGGCTGATAAGCCGGTTGATGCTGATTTGTTGTGAGAGAAAAAGAAAAACATTAGAGCGCGGTCCGTTGTGACTATGAACTAAATAGACTGGCCATGTTCGGCTTACCCCATATTCAATTTGTTCGGCTTCTTTTTTCAGCGGGAACAGTGTTTTTTTTCTCACAACAATTTAGCCGGAACAGTGTTTTTCAGCCTGTTTCAGCCAAGTTTCGGATCTGCGAACGGGGCCTTAAGTGTATATGTAAAGTTAGTGTGATGACTCTGACTCATCCAAAGATTATCAAATGGCACGGTCGACCACGCAAAGCTAATTAAAGCATGTGAGAGATGAGGGAAAGGACAATCAACGATGGTAACTTCAAGAGCAAGAGAACGTAGAAATCAGGAGGATTATCACATTGGGCCCTGGCTCGAAGGGAAAGGAAGGGGCAAAACGGAAATCCGATTTGAAGAAACTCTTTTTTGTGTGACTAATTTGAAGAAACTCGAGCCCAGCGCAAAAGAGACGAGCTGCTGTGACGATGATGATTACGGAGTAAAAATAAGCAAGGGCCATGATGACGAATCGATAAGCCCGGAGGGGGGCAGCCGGCACGGCGGGCGAGGATTGGATAGATTGGTAGGCCCGTGCTTATCCACTACCCCCCTCATCCGGTCACCCCCCTGCGCTGTGTGTCTGTGGTGGGTGGGGGGTGGGTTGACGGGGACCTGAACTGACTGACCCCCTCCGATCCTCTGCGACGCGTGGCCGTGTGGTACCACCTGCCTGCCTCTGCACTCTGCAGAGCTGGCATTGCGCACGACGCAGGTCGCCGCGGGCCAAACGCTGCTGCAGGCCATGGCACTGCGGGACTGCGACTGCGTCGTCGTCTGTGGGCGTATTCAGAGCCGTGCACCTGCAGCTTTGCCTTTGCACCGAAACCGTGCTCGACTAGTGGTGACCTCCTCTATAGCAACAATCGGGGGGCATGTGTGATCAAATGCGAAGGCTGCTTGGTGAAGAACGGCGGCCGTGGAGCTGGAGCACGCGCCGAGGAGAGCTGCCAAAGGCACCTCCCAACACATAAATGGAAATGGACCGACGACGGCCGGGCAGCAAACCCGTTGTTTCCTCCAAGCTAGCGTTTTCTAGTTTCAATCAGTCTTGTACTGTAGTAATTTTCAATGGCACCGCGTTTCTGCGCTGGTTTTTGCATTGGTCTTGTCTTTCTGAAATATAAAACGGCTATCGGTCTTGGTTTCTCATTCGGAGAAAACAACGCCATGGCCCGTGGCAATCCGCGGTTGCTCGGCAAAGCTCTCCTCGGCGCTGGATACCTGCCGTGCCGATGGCGTCGACGTCGAGTGCGACGAATCCTGGGACGATACACGGTAGGATCTTGGTGCCGTACGTGGGCGACCTGAGGACGCGACGCGCGGCTTCCTTTTCCTTCCTTCTCAGCACCTGATCTCCCGTGGGCCCGTCCGCGCTGCAACCCTGGCGGGCGTCGGCGTGCTTATCCTCTAGCACGGCTATTTTAATGGAGTACAGTGTACAAGACGCCATTCTTGTCATCTTGTGTGTGCCCTTATTGGAGGCGTTGAACCTATGCAGGTGTGGGGACAAGTATTGCAACTACTACTGTACCAAAACAGACCGGAGTATTCCGCTTAGTCGTACTTTTTAATCAAGTATTTTTCTCTCACGATAAAAGCTTTCAACCATGCCAGCGTTGCGATTTACGAAGAGCTCGGGCGCGGCCGCGTCCAGCATCCTTGGGATTGGATGGGCCCGTCAGACGGTGGTGATAATACACATACGCGAGCGCCTGAATATGCTGTTGTTCAACTGGTTTCTTGTGCTCACAACAGGTTAATCGAAATACCATCAGACGACACAAGTGCAAGCCTAGGGTAAAGAGGAACAATATATAATAGTTGTGTTTGTACTATACATACAGTTGTGTTTTGTGTAGCCTACCAATCTAGGTTACCCGGCTCGAAGGGCAGACGACCGTGCAAGTCCAACCAGTTTCTCCGTCGAAAGAGCAATTTCGAGCTGGCGATCATATGGAGAGAAGGTGTCGCTTTGATAAGCATTCTTTAAAAAAAACACAAAAAGCCGCTGTGTGAATAGTTAACACTCCAAAATTATAAGATGTTTTTTGCTAATTTATTTAAGATGTTTTGACTAGTTTTTGCCACATTTTGGTTCCTAAATTATAAGATCTTTTGATTTTTTTTAGATACGTGATTTTTGCTACCCACCTAAATATACACTATGGACATAAAAGGTCAAAACGTCTTATATTGAAATGGTGTAGTGATTTTATTTTTTTGAGGGGATGGAACAAAGTAGTGATAATAAAGGAAAAAGTCCATTTTACCTCCCTGAACTATCCTCAAAGTCCAGTTTTCCTTCCTGAACTTGAAAACCGGGTAAACCACCTCCGTTAACTTTTAAAATCATTCATTTTACCTCCCTGACCCGGTTATAGGTGATTTTCAAAGGCGGTTTTGTCTTTTTCTTTTTTATTTATTTCAGCTAAAATTTTGAAAATCATAGTAAATCACAGAAAAATCATAAAATGAAAAATTTAATTTTTTTGACTCCACATGAGTATATCTACACACTAAACATATAATATGGTATTCTTTAGTACAAAGTTTTTACTGTAACTTTAGATCTATGCTTTTCCGTAATTAATTCAAATCAGCCGTTTCTATGGTTCAATTGTGGTGAAATTTTTATGGTGGGCTAATTATTATATGATTGAACTTTAGTAAAAATATCATGCTCATTGGATCATGTATAACAGAGTTATAGATTTATTTATTTTTATACTTGTTAAATAGTTTTAAAATAGTTAAAAGTGTGTAAAAATAGAAATGAGTATGAAAATTTTACTACAGTTAAATCATACAATAATTAGACCACCATAAAAATTTCACCACAATTAGATCATAGAAACTGCAGCTATGAATTAATTACAGAAAATCATGGATCTAAAGCTACAACAAAAACTTTTTACTAAAGAATACCATATTATATATTTAATGTGTAGATCTACTCATGTGGACTCCAATAAAATTGGATTTTCCATTTTATGATTTTTCTATGATTTACTATGATTTTTCAAATATTCAGCCAAAATAAATAAAAAAGATAAAGATAAAACCGCCTTTGAAAAACACCTATAACCGGGTCAGGGAGGTAAAGTGAACGGTTTTAAAAGTTGAGAGAGGTGATTTACCCGGTTTTCGAGTTTAGAGAGGAAAACTAAACTTTCAGAATAGTTGAGTAAGGTAAAATAGAGCTTTTCCAATAATAAACTTTCAAAAGGCGATATAGGCTTCGGCCAATCAATAAGTCGGCCTGACCATAGTCGGCCGAGTGAGCCCATAAGATATAAGGCCCCGGCCCCCGACCTGCGATTTGAGCTTGGCTGGTCCACGCGCTATCGTCCAAAGCCCAGCCCAGTCTATCCCTGGCAAGCCGTAGTACGTACTCGACAACAAAAGGGCCGTCAAGGCATGTTTGCATTGCTTGAGGTTCAGCCTGCTTTTGCCTAGTGCAACATGTATGTACGACTAATGTTGTGCTGGGTAAAGGCGTAAAGCTGCCTAGGAGGCCACCAAAGCAAACATCTGATTCTAAAAAAAAAAAAACCAAAGCAAACATCTTTTAATTCCAATGCAATTATGCAAAGCGTCGTGCCGTAACGGATCCCTTCAAAAGGGCACCTTTAGGTTCCAGTAGGTGAATATTATCTTTTTCCTGGGCTCTTCTGAATTCTCTCATTCGTATCGTAGCTGAAAGGGATATATATAGATATAGCTTTAAAACTCAATCTGCTTTGTACAGGACAGAAAAAGAAAAGGCGTCCAGGATAAATGGATAGTCCAAGAAAGGAGTCATATCTCGTTACAGCAAACTTCAATTTTTAGTTTTTCATTACCCACCGACGCCAACAAGGATTCAGGTGGGGTGTATGTCTTAGCCTGGCTAGGAGTAGAGCTGGTTAGCCTTAGCCATCTTCCACCAAACCAATTCATGATTACTTGGTTGTCTGTGTTGTGTTGTCTAAGTCTGATTAGCGCAAGATGTGTTTTATTGCTTGGTTTGTGTTGCATAGAGTCACTTCTTCCTTCGCTGGGTAAATTTACCCCTTGGTGGGTGGGCAGCAGGGAAGCAGCAACGAGCACCTCCACCTCCGCGCGCGTCCTGTCGGAGACCTCGGTGCACCGGTGCGCCGGCGGCGGGTGCGGGTGCGGCAGGAACACAGATTCGTCTGGATTGAGAAGCGAACCAAATTCCACAGGAACACAGATTCGCAATACCAGAAAAAAAATCTCACAAATTCAATGGAAAGTAATCGTGGTGGAAAGAATAAAATCTGTCTCGAATTTGCATTCACGTATGGAGTAGCTCTCGACAAACGAAGACAAATCAAGAAATGGAATCTGCCCACTGGGAAGGAAGTCACGCGAACCACACGGGAGGACGAAGGGACGACCGCCGACCCGCCGCGAACGCCCTTCACCGCGACTGCTGACCCCGTCGTGGTCGAGGCCGTGGCCGCGGCCTCCGGCACTGGAGTCATCGCCGGGACGACATGGCGCCACCGCGGCGAGCAGCCAAGGGACGGAGCTGCAGCAGATGAGCGAGCACAGCAGGACCAGGGCGGGCCCGCCCGCCGCGCTGCTCGAGTCGCTGGCCCTCGGCGCCGTGAAGACGCGCTCCTCCACGCCGCCGCTCAGCACCGTGACGATGCGCTCCTCCTCGCCTGCTTCACCTCCTTCAGCGTCACCGTAGATGGTTTCATCGAGTTCAGATGCTGGTAGATAGATACACTTCCAGTGACGTCTTCTTAGTTTTAAGATGGTATTAGGCCGCCTTTGGAACGCAGAAATGGCGAAACATAGGAACAGGAGAAACAGAGGAATACTATAGGAACGTGAATGTAAGTAGAAAACGGAGAATTCGGAATCATAGGAATCTTAGGAAAATATAGGAAACAACAGTGCGTTAGTTCATTAGAGAATAACTATGATTATTATCTCCAATGAACAGCGTTATTTTCCATAGAAAAATAGACAACAATATTTATATATAAAAAAAAGCTCAAGCCAACCGTGATCTTATCCGTCCTCATGTATCTCTCCTCTCTCCTGCCTTGCTGCTGGTTCTGCTCCCGCAGATGGACGCCGCTCATCCCACGGCCTGCCACCGGCGAGGTCCTCCCCCAGACACGGTGGAGAAGCTGGAGCGCTGCGGACCACGTGGGGCGAGCGAGGACGGACTCGAGCACTCTCGCAGCTCCTCGCCGCCGCCGCCGGAGGACAGATCTGCGATGCGCAGCCGAGATTTGGCTACGAGGCCGACTTCAACTAAGCGCGCCTGAAGCACCTGCTCCGCGTGATTTGGTTCCAAAGATGCCTTTGCATAGCAGGTTAGAGCTCGATTTGCCTCGATCCTATGCGACTGGAAGAAAAACGAAGAGGTCGGACTGGATGTTTTATTCCCGTGGTTTTCCCGTGGAATCAGCTTCGTAGGAAACTTTCCTCCATTTTTCCTATACGCGATTGCTTCCTTCCAAGGGATGAACAGTACTCTTTCCTGTAAGAATCCGAATCCTCCGTTTCTCCTCTAAAAATCCTTCGATCTAAAGGAGGATCACGTTCGTTTATCTTATAATTTATTTTTTTTTTAAGCTCTAATCAAATAGTATTTTTCTCTTCTAATAAATTAGCTTCCCAACAAATTAACTGGAACAATATTTCGATTTATTTTTTAAACGAAACGAACAGGACGTTAGAGTTAATTAGACGGTGGAGTCAGAGTCTCGCGTAAGTAGTTCAGTCGCTTGGAATCATTAATATATAATGGTCAAGGATTTTCTGCCTTAGAGTTAATTACCTCGATGTCATTATGTGGTCGTGACTTTTATTTGCTTGTTACTGTGAACTGTGATCGTATATACTGCCCGTAGAACCAATAGCGATGTTGCCAAAGCTGAATGCTCTGTAATTATAATAGGACAGCGTTTTTCTCCCCTTTTTTCAGAAGACTTTTAACAGCCCGTTCTCCTTAGGCCAGTTTAGATGTCAAATTTTTTTTTTTAGCCCGCATCTGCCATGCCAGAGGCTTGCGGCAAGGCGACCCACTGTCACCGATGTTGTTCGTCCTAGCTATGGAGGTGCTTGGTGGACTCATCAGGTGGGCTGAGTCCCGATCCTTCCTCTCACCTATCCGGTGCGCGTGATGCGCACAAGGGTGTCGTTATACGCTGTGACGGCGTCGTCGTGTTCATTAAGCCAGATTGAATGACATCGCCGCCATCAAAACCATCCTGCAGATCTTGGCGCACGCGTCGGGTTTGTACACTAACTTGGGCAAGAGCGCCGCCAACCCGATTGCATGTTCAGCGGAGGAGTTGCAGCTAGTGGCAAGCTTACATCCCGCATAATCGGAGCCTTTCCGGTGCAATTACTTGGGAATCTCCATCTCGACTTCATTTGCTGCGGCGGAGGAACAATTCCTCATCGATACCGTCGTCGCGCGCGTATTCCGCTTTGGAAGGGCCACTCATGAATACGGCGGCGTGGTTTGCGTTGACGCAGCGACGCTCTCCGCCATCCCAGTGCACCTCTCCATTGCCGTATGTCTGTCGCCATGGGCGATCGACCGCATTGATAAGCTGCGTCGATCGTTCATATGGTCTGGGTCGGCCTCGGTGGCCGCGGGCAAATGTCGCGTGGCCTGGGACGTGGTCTGTAGGCCAAAGGAGCTTGGGGGCCTCGGCGTCATCAACTCGCGCGCAGTTTGGTGCGGCACTTAGAGCTGCTGGCTGGGAGTGGCTGCGGAAGGTCGACCCAAACAGAACTTGGATCGATCTGCCGACAACAACCGACAGGACCACGAGTGCCCTCTTCCGTGCAGCAACAACAATGGTGGCGATCGGGGACGGGACCTCAACGCTGTTTTGGCATGACTCATGGATCCATGGATGTGTGTACAAACAAATTGGGCCGGTGTGTTTGCCTCATCCCATGGGCGGCGGCGAGGTCACGCGGACTGTGGCGTCGGGATTGGCTGGCCACGCATGGGTGTCGACATCACGGTGCATAAGCGCATGCGGTATTCTCCGATGATCACGGACCTCACGGGAGCGGGTGCGCTGAATACAATTTGGTCGAGGGGTTACGGACTCCGTCATCCGGCGTTGGTCCGCCGATCACAAATACTCCGCGGCGTCGGCGTATGGTGCGATGTTCGATGGATCGACCACGCCTTTGGGGCCCAAGGCGATATGGGGGACGCGGGCACCGCCGAAGGTCGAGTTCTTCTTCCGGTTGGCTATGCATCGTCGTTCTTTGGGATGACAAATCGCCGGATGCGGCATGGCTGCGCAGGGCGGTGACGATTGCATCATGTGTCTTCAAGCATCTGAAACTGGATCATATCTCTGCCGGGCTGTAGCCTCACCCGCCAGTCTGGATAATCCTCCTGTCGAGCTTGGGCTCCTGACGCCGTCGCCGCCCGGGGACGTCGACACCTTTATTTGGTGGGCTGGGCGGTGTAGGGTGCATCGAAGCAGCAGGAAGGGCTTGATTCGTTAATCATGCTAACCTGCTGGGTGCTTTGGAAGGAACGCAACGCACGGACGTTCAAGAATGAGGCCAAGGAAGAATGAGGCCAAGGACGCCCGAGAGCTGTGTTTGGAGATCCGACAGGAGGCTGACTTGTGGTTGAGGGCCGGGTATTCGACCCTGTCGTCGCTCACTTCGTTCATGTAATTGGTCACTTGTGACGTTGGTTTTTTCTTTTACCGCTCTGTTTTCTGTTTTTTTTTCTATTCGACAGGGCAACCTTTGGTTACCTCACGTCGACGTTGCCGTTGTTTGTTTGGATGTTCTCTACTTCCTCTTAATGAAAGACGTGCTACAGTGCACGTTCGAGAAATTTTTTTTAGCAAGACGTTGCTGTAGCGTTTTCGTTGTTATTTGGTAATTAGTGTCCAATCATAGTCTAATTAGGCTTAAAAGATTCGTCTCGTGGATTTCGTCTAAACTGTGTAATTAGTTTTATTTTTTATTTATATTTAATGCTTTATGTATGCGTCAAAGATTTGATGTGACGAGAAATCTTAAAAAATTTAGTATTTTGGGTGCATCTAAACAGGGCCTTAGACCGTCAGTAAGCTCCCGTCACGTTTGCAGGACCAATGTATAGTACATTGTACAAACAGAGCATCCAAGCTACTTCGTATTTAGCTATAATATATAGTGGGGAACAAAAGCGTCCCTCCAGGCTCCAGCGGACTCGCCATACGACACGCACACGCCAAATGCCATCAGCCCATCACTGTTTCGCCCGGTCACCCTGCCACGGCAGATCTGGGTAGCCGCTGCCCCCACGCCATCCTGGCATCCGGCGAATCCTCCTCGTTCCCGCGCGTCCTCCCCGTAGGCGCGCATGGTTCTCGTGCCGGTTTTCCCCCCCCTTTTTGGGTTTGTGTTTGGTTTAGACTTTAGACCCTGTGACGATGTCCATATAATTTTCTTCCTAGTGCACCATGCACGCGTCGTCGCGCAAGGCTATCAAGATTAAAGGCTGATGTCGCGGGCAAGTGGAGCTGAAACACAGCCTCTCGCTCTCGGTGCACCGCCGGACGTGGTAAGCAGTTGCCGCTTCGATCACGCGTCCGTGGACGTTGGATCACTTTCTCAGGGCCAGGCGCGGCAGGCGGAAGACCTCGTCACGATGCCCGGCTACGGCGACGAACGAAAAGCCCAACCGAGGCGGCGCCCCGTGCTCACGCTGGTTTTTCATCACATCACACAACACAAACAGTTGCAGTCGAACCATTTGCTTCATTCCCCAACCTCTCTCTGGTGATCGACGCCAGTCGCCAGGGCAGGCTCACAGTACAGCACAGCCCCGCATCCATCTTCGCTCGATGGCTACACTACTCTACTCATGACTCCATTATTGTTCATACCGAAGGGCCGCCGCCTAGCAGTTGGCGTCGTGCCCGCCCGGTCCCTGCGTCAGTCGCGGGTTGTTGGAAAAGCTGCAACGGAACACGATACAGGCACCGTCAGGATGGAGATCCTCCTAGCATTTCAACAATGCCTGCGACGCCTGTCATGGAGGAAGCTATCTGTTCCTACCTGGTGAGGGGAATGTTCTGGAATGGTCCCGATGTTGGGATCGTGCCGCAGAAGTCATTGCTTGAGAAATCCCTGCAACGGGAAGGAACAAGAACGGCGTTGTTACGACACGCATGCACGCGACCGACGGTGTGCGTAGAGAACTGGTGAAACAAAACAAAACAAAAAAAAAACACAAAGTGAGATCTGATCTGAGAACATCGGCTTACACGGTTGCAAGGTCGGGCAGTCCAGACAGCTCCCTGGGGATCGGTCCAGTCAGGCGGTTGTGGTCGATACGCCTGCCAAGCCACGTTTAGTTCAGACGTTCAATTTGTTCATGCAGTGCACGTGTTGGGAGGAGGGTGGTACATGAGCTGAGTTTACAAACAGTGAAACAGTGACTTACAAGACCTTCAGGGACTTGAGGTTCCCAAGCGTCGTTGGAAGGGGTCCTGAGAGGTCGTTGTTGTACAGGTCCATACTGACCAGGTTCTTCAACTTGCCGAACTCTGACGGGATCGGACCCTGCAGACTGTTGCCGTTCATTTCCCTGCTCGATCAGGTGCCAAAAGTGACGGAGAGTCAGATGGAATAGCAGACATGGATATAAAAGCAGGACAGGAAAATCTCAGTTCAGAGTCCATGTGGATCGGAACGAAGAGCGTACATGTACTGCAGCTGCTCCAGTTTCCCCAGCTCCGGCGGCAGAGGACCGGACAATCTCATGTTAGCAAGCTCGCTGTCCATCGAGAAAAGAAATCATCACGTTATTAAAATTCAATAAATAGAAAAATAAATATGTGTTTCGTGTAGCCGAACACAAGCGTTTCTCCGCCTCGTGGGCCGTATGCTAGTGTGGCCCGATCCATATACACAAGGAGAAAAAACCCACCAGCCCATCCAGCGAGAGAGATCACAAACTCACATACGATCGACGTGGTTGTCGTCGTTGCACGTCACGTGGAGCCACGTGCACGGGTTCACCAGGCTCGGATCCCAGCTCGCGAGCACGCCATCGGGGTCCTTCACGCTGTGACGCAGGGCCATCAGCGCGTCTCCTTCCTCGTTGGCCGCCGCAGGAGCCAAGGACGCCACGACCACCGCCACGAGGACGGCGATCCACACGCCCGCCGCCGCCACCGGGGACATGCTTCTGGTAGCCATAAACGCTGCCACACGGTGTGGTCGAGACGATGTGGGAGCGAAGTGCTAGGGTGCGACTGTGGTGCTCTGTGCGAGCTGTGATCTTGGGTGGTTTTTAAGGGGGGAAAGAGGAAGGCTCAGAGCCCGGGTAGATGGCTGTGTGTTACTGTGTGCTTTGAACTCCAGTCTGGTCTCAGGTGGTTTTTAAAAAGGGACGGAAGGCTTGGAGCCAGGGTGGTGGGTGGCTTCAGTTACCACTCTCTAAGGTAGATGCTATACGTACCGAGAAACATGCCCAAGTAAATGGTATATTTTTTTTCGTTGCGTCACTGACACTGGGCCTTTGACTTACAGTCCACAGATAGGTTGCCGATGACGACATGGTCAAATTAAATGTACCTCTTGTTAACATTGGTAGTGTCTTTCTTTCATGCAGTCAAAGTGGAATCTTAAAGCTTAAGTGTTGGCTGGCTTCCGTTACTACTACAGCGGGCTTTGCATACCGAGAACATGCAAAGAGTAAGTGGTACAGTTTTCCGCTGCATCACTCACCGACAGTGGGCCTTTGGCTAGGATTGTAGTCCATCGGTAGGTTACCGATGGCTATACGACAAAATTATACGCTCTGTCAATATTTATAGCGTCTTTGTTTCCATGCCATCGAAGACCCACCTGTTTCCGTCAAAAATTGCGGGCGACAGTTATACTCCACCGTAGTGCATGACAACCTATACATACCAAAACATGTATCATTCAACTTAGGAATGACGTTGCCAATTAATTGGTTTGGAAGAACAACATAAATGACTAATTTTTTGTGATGCAAATGTATGTATTTACAGAAATGTGTTTATGACAACTAAACTGGTTCGTATCGTTCGTGGAGAAGTACTGCTGGCTGGTTTGTGTGAGAGAAAAATACTGTTCCGGCTAAAAATTTACGATCGTTTACGACAAGCCACAGCCAAACGAACAGGCTTCAAAAGCGTGTATGCTACTTATAATCCTATAACTAGCGAAAAATTTGCCTCTCTTGATCTCCTCTAAGGAACTGGGATGTTGTCTATATCATTCATGTATATGCTTGTAACCCTCGGCTTTCTTCGATATAACTACTGCCTTATTCCAAATACTTCCTCCGTCCGCAAAAGAATGCAATTATAGAAATTGTCAGGGACCAATATTAGGGTACCCGAAGAGGAGGAGCTAATAACCATCAACATTGATTCATCTGAGCAGTCAAGAGCGCGACTACAACTCCAACCGACCCCCAGGTGCGCAAGCTCAGCCTCGCCCGGCCACTGGGGGCGGGCTCCGCCTCGCCTGACCTCTGGGGGCGGGCTCCGCCTCGCCCGACAACGAGGCCGCGGGCTCCGCCTCGGCCGACCTCTGAGGGCTGGCCCCGCCTCGCTCGACCTCTGAGGGCGGGCTCCACCTCACCCGACCCTTGGGTTTGCGCTCCGCCTCGCCCGACCTCTAAGGGCGGGCTCCGCCTCGCTCGACACCGAGGCTCATCCGACACCGAAGCCGCGGGCTCTGCCTCTCCCGACCTCTAAGGGCTGGCTCCGCCTCACCCGACCCTAGGGTTTGCGCTCCGACTCGCCTGACCTCTGAGGGCGGGTTCCGCCTCGTCCGACACTGAGGCCGCGAGCTCTGCCTCGCTCGACCTCTAGGGGCGGGATCCGCCTCGCCCGATCTTTGGGTTTGCGCTCTGCCTTGCTCGACCTCTGAGGGCGGGCTCCGCCTCGCCCGACACCGAGGCCACGGGCTCTGCCTCGCCCGAACTCTGAGGGCTGGCTCCGCCTCGCCCGACACCGAGGCCACGGGCTCTGCCTCGCCCGACCTCTGGGTGGGGACTCCGTCTCGACTGACCCCGAGGCCGGGGGATCCATCTCACCCGATGAAGACCCATACCATCGCCAACCACTCCAGGTCCAAGCGAATGGGCTTAGGTCAAAGCTCTAACACCAGGGAGGTGACCGGCACGCCCCAATATAACATGTGTCTATGACGGACCATACCTGGGGATTCACATCAGGAATAGCGTCGGGCGTACCGGTGCTGTTCTACCTAACCCTCATACGAGCACTGACGGGCGCGTCAGTTCACCACGACGTCCACTAGGACGAAGTGGAGCGCCATGACCGGTTGACGACGCCTGCGCATGGTGCTAGTGACGGACAGGGCCACGAGGTGGAGCTGTCCCTGTTGACGTCTATAGGGTCGATGGGACCCACGTAAAGGAAAAGAAGGACTCGGCGATCCTAGAGGACTTCTTCTCCTTCTGATCCTCCTCTTTCCCCTCCGCTGTAACCCATGCTTTTTCTTGGCCTATAAAAGAGAAAGCAGGGCGTCCCATGGTGGGGGACTGACATCGCAACACATTGCATCAATTGGGACTCGAATCCATCGAACCCTGAACAGACCAGAACACACAAGCACATAGCCGGGAAGCGATCGAGCTCTTGGCACCCGCTAACTCCCCTTACTAGAGACTTGGGACCTATCCCTCTCTCGACCGTTTGTAACCCCTCCTACGAACTTTTAGTGCTAGTAACATGAGCAGCAGCAACAAATTGGACGTAGGGATATTCTGCCTGAATCAGTATAAACCTCATGTCCTCTTAGCACACCATTCGAACCAGACGCGTAATATTAGAAATTTACTAGCCGGTGGCAACTCGAAACACCAACAGTTGGCGCGTCAGGTAGGGGCCTTTTGTGCGTCTCGATATCCGCACCAGGCCTTGGATGGCTAGTCACAACCTCAGCTGAGTCCTGGGCATGCACGTGCACTTCGGGGACCTAGACTTCATCATCACGACGGAGGGAGAGTTGACGATGGCTCCCGCCACCGTTTGACCTCTCCACTCTGCCGGCCTTGACGCGATCATCGAGGTGCTTGAGAAGCTACAGCTGCACGCACTGGAGGCCCACGCCCCCGGAAGCGATCAGCCCCTCGACTTTGACTACGGGAGGTTAGAGCTCCAGCTCGATGCCTTCCTAGGACCACGACCATCCTGGGAGGCCCTGCGCCACCTCACCTTCTCATTCGCCAATGTCATGGTGTAGCTTGCTGGAGGGGAACCGCTCTCTCCGGAATACCTCATCTGGAGCGCCCCGACAGCGCTCCCGTTCGGTCTCCGCAACGTCGCAGAAACCGATGGCCACCTTGTGGCGCAACGCGCGCCTCCTTTCCCGGCGAACGACGAGTTCGTAGGGATGACCGAATATGTCGTGAAGTCTTTCCATGACCTCCTCGTGGAAGAAACAGAGTCGCCCTCCGCCTCTGACTCCAGCAGGGGGAGCCACCACCCCTCTCGTGAGTGTTTTATGGCAGGTACCCCCGAGGGATACGTCGAAAGCATCCATGAGGAGGAGGCTACCCTGACAAACAACCTCAACGACGAGGTCGAGGGGGATACAGGGGCTCCACCCCGCTTATGGATGGAGCAGCTGAAGGCCCGGCACCAAGAGCTCGAGGAAGCACAAAGTTCCTCATCCCAACATGGGCTAGTCAACGATGACAAAGCCAACCCATGCTAGATTTTACCACTAAACAAGTCTCAAGCTTAGCTTTACTTTGGTTGAAATTAACTAAGTAAAACTTGTTCTTTAATTGACCCGTAAAGACAATAGAGGAGTCCTCCCTTTTAAAGACTTTCACACCCTTATCCAAAAAAAGACAATTGTAGCCCATCTCACACAATTGAGAAACGGACAACAAATTGTAACTCAACGAATCAACATGTAATACATCTGTAATTGAATGCTCATGGGTTATAGCAACTTTACCGAGACCAATCACATCCCCTTTGAATTGTCTCCAAAGACAATATTTTCATTTCAGTGTGTCATTGGGGAATATGATGAGAACATACTCCTTTCTCCGGTCATATGATTTGTACATCCACTATCAAGCACCCAACTTGATCCACCGAAGGAGTATGCCTGCAAAACATATTTAGTTGCTTGATTTAGATCCCCAATTTGACTTCTTCTTGTGGTCTAATATCATCTTGTATGAAAGGATCCACCATGTGAAGCAATTAAGCAATTGCTTCTTCTTCTTGAAGTGTTGTAGGAAAGGAGAATCCACCATGTGCAACTTGAGGAACCTCCACCTCAGTGACTTCTTCTTCTTGTGGTCTAATATCACCAATAGCCAATTGCTTGATTGCTTCACATGGTGAATCCTCCTTTCCTACAACACTTGAATCAACTTGCTCCAATTGAGAGCCATTAGATTCATCAAATGTTTCATCTACCGCTATTTCAACTCTTCTAGAGGTTTTATTGAAAACACGATAGACATGCTCATTTGATCCATAACGAAGAAGAAAACCTTCATCAACCTTAGGTGCAAACTTAGAGGTTTTTTGTTTCTTATTAAGTATGAAACACTTGCACCCAAACACTCTAAAGTAGGACACCTTTGGTTTGTTATCGGTTAGAAGCTCATATGAAGTTTTCTTCAACTTCTTGTGTAGGTAGAGGTGGTTGATGGCATGGCAAGCGGCGTTGATGGCTTCGCACCAAAAGAGGTCCGGCATCTTGTACTCATCTAGCATTATCCTTACCATATCAATTAGTGTACGATTGTTTCTCTCTAGTACACTATTTTGTTGAGGGGTGTATGGAGTTGAAAACTCATGCTTGATGCCATCTTCATCAAGAAACTCCTCAACTTGGGTGTTCTTGAATTCGGTCCCATTGTCTCTTCTCATTTTCTTGCTGGGGAGATCTAACTCCTTTTGAGCTCTTCTAACAAAAGTTTTCACTTTGTCTCTAACTTGACACTTATCAAACAAGAAAAATACGCAAGTGAAACGGGAATAATCATCAACAATAACAAGACCATATTTGTTACCCCTGATACTTAGGTAGGCGACTGGTCCAAAGAGATACATGTGTATGAGCTCCAATAGTTGCATCGTGGTCATGATGCTCTTTGGTGGGTGAGGTACTCCAACTTGCTTTTCAGCTTGACAAGCGCTACATATCCT